GGGGGGGGAACAGAAGAGTGTTTCAAAGACGAAGGCAGAAAAAAGGTGAGGTGAGTACTGTGGAAGTAGTCGAATATGACATACAGTTGGGTCATGGCAGTTTGAAGTCAGAAGTCAACTGCCGGTTTATAGACTTTTATGCCGTATGTGTATACGTTGCCAGGGTGCACCACGTGGAGGTAATTCTGTCGCGCACACCGTATAATAAAGTAATAAAAGTAAATTCTCTATTTTAGACTCCGAAATTGTCATTCACAGTGTCAACGAATAAGCTTCAACAGTTCGATTCTATGACGGCTCATTTCTCCACTTCTATATCTGTGAAAATGGGCACTGTGCAATAAGGTGGTTTAGATAAAAGTCACAGTAGGAGAAGACTGATTAGTCTATTCTTTTTAAATCTTGCAGTTTTTATAATTCAAAGATAATAAGTAAGCCGCAGGGCAAAATCAATGCGCTTTAAACGCCCTGAAAAAGTAGCAATGAATTGCATTGAGTACCAAAGTACTCACATATTCATAGCAAATATTCACTCAGACTATTCTGAGAACAATTATACTCAACCTTGAACACTACGTCTGATGTCAACTAAACCATAAACCGAATCTAACATATTAAGTGGGCGGCATGAGTCCTGACTGCGTGCCTGCATCTTTGAGAAATTGAAATTCGCACACACACACACACACACACACACCTAAAATGCTGTTGAAAGCATGACACAATAATGAGGAGGGCATGACATTAGTAGATTAGCAATTTGAAAAATAACTCATCATGTTAGAAAGCACGTTCAATAAGGAATATCTTCCAATTTACTAATAAGGTGGAAAGAAGGTCCTTAAAGTTGGCAAACGAATTCACGTAGCTTTAATATTATGACCATTCCCCACCCAGATGGCGAAAATTTCAGTACTGTGGAGGTGGTTCGGTGGAAAGGTTAATAATAGATAGGACCACTCGTAGAAGGAAATTCATTCTTTAAAGTGTAAAATGCACCACTTAGGGAATAGAAGAATATGAACTACCAGAGAATTCTAAGATTGGGGAAAATAGCAGGCATCAGAAGTTAAATACACCTAGAAAACACGATGTTTCCAAACGGTCAACTGAAGAGATCATTAAAATTATTTGAGCAGTCAATTAAATATAACAGTTAGCTACTGATTTCTTATAGTTCTATGAATAAATAGATGTAGATTATTTTGGAAACGTCTGCAGATGTTAAATACAGACGCACCTTTGGTTCATTTCCAACAAATAGCACCTGGTTAGAAGATAAGAATTCTTTCCAGATCACCTATTTGAAAAATAGTTGACATTTATTGGTCGATAGCCTTAATCAACAAATCAAATGTCGTAGGAATGAAGCAACTCAGTGAAATGGTTGTACCACATCACTTTAATTGGTAACCCTGAATAAGGTTAAAGATTACACAAAGTATATGTTTAATTTTGAAAGGGTGCATCTATGAGCACTAGAAGGAATGTGAAACTAAAATTCATCATTTGCAGGAAGTGTAATGTTGATTGTAAGGCATTAGTTTACCTGTCCCCTGGTTCTGATGTAAAATGCAGATGTACCGGCTGTTCGTGCCAGGAACATCACGCGGGATTGCTCCTCTGCCAAACTATTCAAATATCCCTCCACATCGGAGATGAATGAAGAGACTAGTTATTCATTTTCATTCAGATAATACACATAATAACAAAGGCAACAATTTGAATCAGGCCAACTGCTCTCTGTTGGCTATTAAAGTTCAATTCTCCAGATGATATGAACATTTCCTTCTCAAAATAACCGACTGAAATGTTCTGGTCATCAAGAAAATAACAGGAGTTCGCTCATGAGCTCAAAATTGGCATTCATGATTATCAGGATATGAGATAATGGTAACTATCAGCAAAAGCAGACAAACCAGACACATAAACAATGATTGAATTAAGGCACTTCCAGGGATTTGATTTTCTATTCAAATGCCTACCAGTTACCCCCCAATCACCGTCACCTTCTAGTGATTGGAAGCTCTCCCTCAGAGATCGATTAACGCATATGAGCTGTCGATGTGTCAGAGAAATAGACCTACATGTGAAACCTGACTATCATGCCTCATAGGAGTGACGTTGAGCTCGCACAAATTTAATAACCTCCAAATGACGCATTTAACAGCCACACAATTCCCAACAATCTTAGACAGAATTGAATTCCACATATGTTTTGCAAGAGAAAATCACGTTACCACACCATAGGGTCTTGATATGGATTCATTAAGACCAGCATAATAATAAAACAAAACAAGAAAAAGTTAGGTGAAAATGGAATGTGGATGTTGAAGAAAGTTACTAGACAGAAGTCTATTTTCTAAGAGAAGAGAAGAGAACAGGAGGTAGCGATGTGTAAATCCACAAAATCTACCACTCAATTAATAATTGATTTCGATTTAGCAAGGAAGGAAGGAAGTTGCGGAATGGATGCAACCAAACACAAAGTTGCCAAGTAGCAGATTGTGGTAGAAGAGAGTTGTGATGAGGTTTGAAAGAGGAGTGAGACAGAAGCCAATCCAAAGGGGTGTAAGCAAGCACGCATGCGGCCACATTACAAGAAGGAAGTGAGAAGATCTCGAGTGATGAGCAAGACTGGTGGATCAAATTAATAGTCATAGAAGACAAACGAAGTCAATGATGAAATTGAATGAGAGTAGAATCGATAAAAATGGAGTGTGAGATTACAAATAAGGGCAGAATTCAGATCCAACTCCACTTGAGGTAGCAAAGTGGGCCCATACTCAGTAGATTGACAGCCATAGTGACAGCATAATGAAAATGATGATGACAAGGGGTGCGTGATTGACTAGCCAACACGTGGTGCAGCCTGGGCAACGTATACTCATGTGGCCAAAAGTAAATAAAGTGGGAGTTGACTGCGAGCTTCCCCTAACAGACTGTATATCATATTTCACCATCTTCCATCCTTCCTCGGTGTCTGTCACACGCTTTCACAACTGGAAATCCCTATTTTGTTCCCAACCCCCCCCCCNTTGAATGAGAGTAGAATCGATAAAAATGGAGTGTGAGATTACAAATAAGGGCAGAATTCAGATCCAACTCCACTTGAGGTAGCAAAGTGGGCTCGTACTCAGTAGATTGACAGCCATAGTGACAGCATATTGAAATTGATGATGACAAGGGGTGCGTGATTGACTAGTCTATACGTAGAGCAGTCTGGGCAACATATACTCATGTGGCCAAAATGTCTATAAAGTGAGAGTTGACTGCGAGCTTCCCATAAGAGATGGTATATCATATTTCACCATCTTCCATCCTTCCCATCCTTCCTCGGTGTCTGTCACACGCTATCACAACTGGAAATCCCTATTTTGTTCCCAACCCCCCCCCCTCCACTTTTGTGAATTTGTTGCTCGTCTCCTCTCCTCTCCTCTGTGGAGTACGAAGTCAAACAATGGGTGAATGATAACTATCATTAACCCTGCCATTCGGAGTGAACATATAACGATACTGATGATTTTCGATTTAATCTGGAAAACGTGTAATCTTGAGTTGAAAATAAATCGAATAACGTGGAAAGTCTTGCCATCTTGTTTACACCATTTTACAGTTTATCTCAAGGGATATCGTTGGCATTTAGTCGCAGCCACAAGGTTTAAATAGTTATATGTTAAAACAGACAGGAAGTATTTAAAACAATCATCCGCTAGAGGTCACAACACAGTGAAGGAAGAGATTCATTGGCAAGTTGAAATTGAGGTGAAGAAAAGAAAATAAATAAAGAAGTGGAACGTGTGCAAAATAAAACCCCAAAACAAAATTCAGACAATTGTTTATGCAATTACTAGGCAACTCAACCTGTCATGAGGACTCGTCACCACACCATTTTTCCTCACGAAAATATGCACAGCAATCAAACCAATATGCAAAACGTCACGTTTTTAGCGAAAAAAATCACGAAGAGGGTGAGAGTGAGATCAGAGTAGAGGATAATGGGCTGCAATGTGAACTGGTGCAATCATGCATTGTGGAGGCGAGGATTCCATCTCACATCTTGCACTTCAGCCTACCTTTCCCAGGTCTTGCATGCCATGCACCACACATCCATGCAACCTCCATCAACTCATCACACAAGCACAGCACAGCGCAGCACAACCACACAGTGGAGTCGTGATCTCTACCCAACATTGCTACTATAAAAGCTGCTCACATAGCAGTTGACCACCAACTCATCTCATCTCACCTCTCCTCAACTCAACTCAACACAAGCAACTACACAAGGAAAGCAGCACCAATGGTTGGAGTGAAGAAACAGTCAGAATCTGCCAACTCATCAGTCTCTCTAAGCGCCTCCCAACAAGCTGGAGCATTCTTCCCACGACAGTTTCAGTCCGGTTACGACAGCTCCACGCGTCTTGCACTCAACTTCACACCCTCCCTATTTCGCATGACTGCATCCAACTCAAGCTCGTCCCTCTCAGAGATGGCGTCGGACTCCTCGACTAGTTCAAGGCGATCATCAGCTTGGAAGATGAAGTGGAGGCAACGTGGAAGTGAAATGAGCCGAGCCCAAGTGGACGAAGTCGTACGCCTCGTGCTCTCCTCCTTCGCCGCTAAAATGCCTCACAGCAGCAAGGTATACTCCCTCCCCATGCACCCACTCTCTACCCCTAATACCTCCTCGCTCCCTTTACTTGATCGTTCATGCACACTTCCTCTCTATTGTAGTTGAAGAACAATGCCCAACTCTCCACTGACTTCGGTCTTGACAGTTTGGACCGCGTCAACTTGCTCAAGACACTGGAGAAGTCTTTCAACTTCAGAGTGTTCCCCGACGAGTTCGATAATTTGGAGGAAGAGTTGGCGACTCCTGATGATATTGTCAGTTTCGTTTGTCGAAAATTCGCCATATCCTGCTAGCAGATACCCACATTATACCTTTTATTTTCTCAATTGAAGGCATTTCCAAATTTACTGCGAATTTTATCACTTTTCACAATATATATTTTGATATATACCTCTTGCACTTCTTTTTCCACCTCCACAATATTTACGCATGCACGTTGAGAATAACAACTCCATTCGGTAATTGGGATCTGGTTAGTTCCTTTCAATTCCGGCATACCTTGCCTAGTAATGAACATTTCAGGTAATTGAATTTTTCACATGGATTTATCAGTTAGTAGTGACAACCCAGAGAGACGAAGAATACATCAAAAATGACATCTCTCAGGGATTGGACCAGGATGTCGGAATGAAAAAGTTCATGTGGCAGTGACAGCATTTCGTTTGCATAATGCCACTTCGTGAAGTGCGTAGATCCATTTGGGAAGATAGGGCAATCAGATGGCTGGACCGAGGGGGGGGGGGGGAGTAATTAGTATGTTGTCAAAGCAGTAGACATGGCATTGAGAATGCCCTAATCAGAAGTAATGAATTAGGAAATGTCAAATTAAACAGCAGGAAAGATCAGGTCAGTTTATCGACCTCAACCTTCCCCAACCCCCCCCCCGCCCATAACTCATACTCACTACAGGTTCCTATGGCCATGCCTAAGTGTGAGAATGAATCCAATTGCGTTCTTTGCATGCATCAAACGGTGTAGTACAGTCGCCTATTTCACGGCAATCTGATCAAAAGTCGCATTCTCGTCAACTTGGAATGGCGACGCTACTGACCAACCTCGATCCCCTTCGCGTTAGCCACGCCACAAACTCCTTATTTCTATTCACCAACATGACTGCAAACAGAAGTGGGCCCAGTCAAGAGAATTCTCTCAGACAATCCCCTTAATTCTGTCAGATGAACTGGGTTCCGAGCCCGCCCAACGAAACGACTTCAGTTTGTGTGTACTAATCATTGGGACAAATTTCATACCTACACCGTGTAGTTGGAACTGGGATAATTCGCACAGCTAATTCGACAACCAATAATTAGATACAACATTTTCACGATGAGGAATTGAACTCTAATCACTGACTCCCCTATTCCAGTCAATCGTTTGAGATTCCATGTCTTGCTCAGCCTTGAATGAAATGCTTCGAAATCTCCAAGAGGAAAGTCGAAAAATCGGAAACATAACTGCTTTCTTATGATGATGCTTAATTTGAATGGAGCACGCTTTAGCTTTGACCTCTATTTTCCTCTGTTTACAATTCTTTGACAACAATACTCTCAGTTTCCTTTTTTAGTATCTGTTTTAGTTCTGAAAGGGTCATAATCACAATGCTAGGAGACTAATGCAAAGATCTTGCCAAACGGATGTGTAGATTAACTCAGACACTATCAGTAGACGATAGCAATCATTAGCGTGGCACAATTCTTTTTCCCCACGTATCACGACGTCTGTGTCAGTCGTGATATCAATCATATTAACTTCCCTTCAAGTAATTCGAAATCAAAATGCTCGAATGACAAATTCATTGAAAATCAAATTGAGCACTGCAAAATTCACATACAGTGAGCTCAGTGGAGGTCTCTTCTTATGTCCAGTTACTAGAAAAACACCCCATTCTGCCCTTTGAGGTAAACACCAGTGTGGGTCATTCTATGGCCACTGACTATACCATTCCATTGTCATTACTAAGACGACCACCAAAACGAACAAGGCAGTTTTTATTTATACCCACCTATCAATTGACGTTTTGACAGAGGGCATAATCGGGGTGTAGTAACATTTAGTTTTTTGGATGAAAGTTAACTTGACTAAATTATATATATATATATTTGTTGGGGATATCGCACCTTCTAGTAAAGTATTTATCAAGGATAGAATTGGGGGCGGGGAAGGGGGGGGGGAACTAGTCCCTTCTTGATGGTTATTTCACAGAAAAATGTTTTGTAAATTAATTTGGTTTGAAAAGCTTGTAGCGGACTGCTACGCTAGTAAAACCCGACCGACTCAGAAATCTCTATGGCAGATTCACCTACATCTACCTAGACTCCCGAGAAATCTCTGGCAGATTCTCCTACATCTAGCTAGACTCCCGAACTAGCTAAGCTATAGCCCAGCTATAAAGAAAACAGACGTATAATTCAGCTAAGCTATAGCCCAGCTATAAAGGAAACAGACGTGTGGCACAGAGCACGTTTATTCGGTACGAGTATTGCGGATAAGGTGTACACTCAGGGAGCTTAATCATGATCAGGATGGCGGATTAGGTTATACAAACAGAGGTTGATGATTGGTCACTGTTTGTACGCTCGCACCTCCCAATCCTGACGTGCAGCATGCGATGACGTGTCCCACAAGTTCTTATCTCTTACTAGTGATATATATATATATATATAAAAGGATATGGGGTGCGCGATAGACTTACCTCCACGTGGTGCACCCTGGGCAACGTATGCTCATACGGCAAAAAAGTCTATTAATCGGCATTTGACTTCTCACTTCTAACTACCAACACCCCAATGTATGTCACTTTCTACCACTTTCACAGTACTCACCTCACCTTTTCTCTGCCTTTGCGTCTGTCTATTTTACACCATTGAAACTTTCTTTTCTTCATCTCCCCCCTCTCGACTTTTTTTCTCTTTGATGTTCCCTTCCCACTGTGAAGCCTGAAGTCTGCTAAAGGACTAATGATAACTATCATAACGCCTGCCATTTGATATAAATAAATATTGGGATATTTAGAAACGTATTCAACTTGAGCTAGATATATCAAAGTTGAAATATTTATTTATAACAAATGGCAGGCGTTTTGATAGTTAACATTAGCCCTTAAGTTGACTTCAGGCTTCACAGAGGGGAGGAGGAACATCATAGTGAGAAGAATTCAGGAGGGGGAATAGAAGGGTGTTTCAAAGATGTAAAAGAAACAGACACAAAGGCTCAGAAAGGGTAAGATGAGTAGTGGTAGGGGTCGAATATGACGTACAGTGGGGGTGATGGTTGTTTAAAGTGAGAAGTCAACTGCCGATTAATAGACTTTTTTGCCGCATGAGTATATGTTGCCCAGGGTGCACCACGTGGAGGTAAGTCTATTGCACACCCCGAAGATGAAATATAAGGACACATGTGAACCACTCAAAGAAAATATTTCATTCGCAAGAGGATAAATGGAACTGCTAAGAGAGAAGTGCATAAAAAGGATATTCAAAAGCATTCATCACTGGAGGAATTGATGAAAATTGACTTTCAGAGGTTCCGAAGATTGTGGAAAGTGGCGGACATCAGAAAATTGATTATGTTTACCAAATACAATATTCATTGGTGGAAAACTGCAAAGGTCATGACAAAGAATGTATCAAACCATGATATATGAAGCAGTTATTAGGGAAGTTTGCTACTGTTTTCTTAATTTCACCGTTCTATGAATTAGTGGACTTGGCCAAATTTGGAACACCCTGCTGATGTTGACCACAAACGCTGCATTAATCTATTGCCAACATAAGGACAATGGATTGGACATCTTGTTAGAGAATAAGTTAATTCATTTCCTAATCGCCTATTTGGCATTAGCATTATAATATCCGTGGAAATAGTTGGCGTATTTTGATCGATAGACATGCACATCAAGTCAAATTTCGCTGTTACGAAATAAACCAGTGAGCTGGTTGAACCCTATCACTTCAATTGACAACCCGGACATCGAGCAAAGACTAAATACAGCAGATAATACATAAACAATGCGTACTTTTTGGAAGAGTGCACCTTTGAGTACTAGGCGGAACGTGAAACAGAGCTTCACCATTTTCAGGAAGTGAAATGTTGAATGCAAGGTGTTAGATTACCAGTCCTCTGGTTTCGGTGTAAAATGCAGATGCACCGGATGTTCGTGCCATGAACATCACGCGGGATTGCTCCTCTGCCAAACTATTCAATTATCCCTCCACATAGAAGATGAATGAAGAGACTAGTTAGTCACTTTCATTCAGATAATACACATAATAACAAATGGCTACAATTTCAAACATCCCAATTGCTCTCTTTCGGTAATTTAAATTCAATTCTCCAGATAATATGAACATTTCCTTCTCAAAATAACCGACTGAAATGTACTGGTCATCAAGAAAATAACAGGAGTTCGCTCATGAGCTCAAAATTGGCATTCAAGATTATCAGGGTAATAGAATGTGGTAACCTCCAGCAAAAGTCGACAAGCCAGACCCATAAACACTGATTGGACTAAGGTACATCCAGGGATTTGATTTATCTCAAAAATTCTATTCAAATGCCTTCCAGTTACCTCCTAATTACGGTCACCTTCTATTGATTGGAAGCTCTCCCTCAGAGATCGAATAACACATATGAGCCGTCGATGTGTTAGAGAAATATGCCTACATGTGAAACCTGCCTATCATGCCTCATAGGAGTGACGTTGAGCTCGCACAAATTTAATAACCTCCAAATGGCACACGTAACCATCACATAATTCCTAACAATTTTAAACAAAATTGAATTCCACAAATGTTTTGCAAGAGAAAATCACGTTACCACACCATGGGGTCGTGACATGTACTCCTTAAGACCAGCATAATAATAAAAAGAAACAAGAAAAAGTTAGGTGAAAATGGAATGTGGATGTTGAAGAAAATTACTAGACAGAAGTCTATTTTCTAAGAGAAGAGAAGAGAATAGGAGATAGCGATGTGTAAATCCACAAAATCTACCACTCAATCAATAATTCAATTCGATTTAGCAAGGAAGGAAGGAAGTTGAGGAATGGATGCAACCAAACACAAAGTTGCCAAGTAGCAGATTGTGGTAGAAGAGAGTTGTGATGAGGGTTGAAAGAGGAGTGAGACAGAAGCCAATCCAAAGGGGTGTAAGCAAGCACGCATGCGGCCACATTACAAGAAGGAAGTGAGAAGATCTCGAGTGATGAGCAAGACTGGTGGATCAAATTAATAGTCATAGAAGACAAACGAAGTCAATGATGAAATTGAATGAGAGTAGAATCGATAAAAATGGAGTGTGAGATTACAAATAAGGGCAGAATTCAGATCCAACTCCACTTGAGGTAGCAAAGTGGGCCCATACTCAGTAGATTGACAGCCATAGTGACAGCATAATGAAAATGATGATGACAAGGGGTGCGTGATTGACTAGCCAACACGTGGTGCAGCCTGGGCAACGTATACTCATGTGGCCAAAAGTAAATAAAGTGGGAGTTGACTGCGAGCTTCCCCTAACAGACTGTATATCATATTTCACCATCTTCCATCCTTCCTCGGTGTCTGTCACACGCTTTCACAACTGGAAATCCCTATTTTGTTCCCAACCCCCCCCCCCCTCCACTTTTGCTCGTCTCCTCTCCTCTGTGAAGTACGAAGTCAAACAAAGGGTGAATAAAAACTATCATTAATCCTGCCATTCGGAGTGAACATATAACGATACTGATGATTTTCGATTTAATCTGGAAAACGTGTAATCTTGAGTTGAAAATAAATCGAATAACGTGGAAAGTCTTGCCATCTTGTTTACACCATTTTACAGTTTATCTCAAGGGATATCGTTGGCATTTAGTCGCAGCCACAAGGTTTAAATAGTTATATGTTAAAACAGACAGGAAGTATTTAAAACAATCATCCGCTAGAGGTCACAACACAGTGAAGGAAGAGAGAAACAAAGGTGAAGAAAAGAAAATAAAGAAAGAAGCGGAACGTGTGCAAAATATAACCTCAAAACAAAATTCAGACAATTGTTTATGCAATTACTAGGCAACTCAACCTGTCATGAGGACTCGTCACAACTCCCTTTTTCCTTACAAAAATATACACAGCAATCGAACCACTATGACAAGATGTCAATATTTAAATGAAACAAATCACGAAGAGGGAGAGTGAGATCAGAGTAGAGGATAATAGGCTGCAATGTGAATTGGTGCAATCATACATTGTGGAGGCGAGGATTCCATCTCACATGCAATGCACCACACATCCATGCAACCTCCATCAACTTATCACACAAGCACAGCACAACCACACTGTGGAGTCGTGATCTCTACCCAACATTGCTACTATAAAAGCTGCTCACGTAGCAGTTGACCACCAACTCATCTCATCTCACCTCTCCTCAACTCAACTCAACACAAGCAACTACACAAGGAAAGCAGCACCAATGGTTGGAGTGAAGAAACAGTCAGAATCTGCCAACTCATCAGTCTCTCTAAGCGCCTCCCAACAAGCTGGAGCGTTCTTTCTTTCATAGCTGCCTCTATTATTAGGCATCACATTCGCTCAGCTTCTTTAAGTCATATGTGAATACTGTAATTTTGCACATTTATTACATGTTGAAATAGACTAAAGGTAATATGCCGATTAAGGCACGTACCTGAGGTTACCAATCCTAGTAAAAAAACAAATAAGAGGGACATGTCAAGCTAGGAAAATTTAAAATGGAGTGAATGGTGAAAAATCTACTCCATTAATCCAAATTGTCAAAGTAAGAAAAGTGTGTGGGTTTAGCGAATGTCTGTGAGACAGGCCTCATCAATCTTCTTTCTAATAAGGTGATAGGCCTCTCTGTATTTCTGCCATTGGATTGCAAGTTTATCTAACATCTCTGTTGATCCCGGAGATGATTCAGTCATGTCCTTGCTCGCATCGAGCAGACGTTGCATTTCATCCTCGGCATCATTTAGCTGATTCATCAATTTTTGGTTCTCAGGTTCACGTTCAATTTTCTTCCAATATCTATCCCGTGCAGCCTCGTATTCGTTAAAATCAACCAGTTTAAACCAATGGCCGCATTTACAACGCGTAGTTAATCCCTTGTAGAGAAGCAGATAACTGATGTGATGTGTGTCCTCATGACCTGATAAAACGAACACAAGAAAAACATTGTAATTTATCAGCGCATTGTTTAGTATAAAAAACTAAGACAACCTACAAATGCATCCCATCATACGTCTTTCTTCGTCAAAAGGAATTAAGTTAGGCAGATTCTCAGTTGTCTTGCCACTATATCGAAGCTTAAACTCACGGTAATTGATCTAAAGTCCAAATGAATGACAACAAATTATTAAATCTTACATCGACTTCTTCTATTTGTTGCAGAAGCTCTTTTTGCATTTTACTGAGGGTCTGTTTAGGTTCCTTGTCTAGAGTAACAGAAACTAAAGCATGAGATTAAGATTGAACATACGACCATCGCTCCTGAGAACTTCATTATTAATTATGAAATTTCGCACTCTCGAGTACACGCTATTGGCCGGTGCGTGAATAGCAGAACTTGAAAAAGTCCGAGCTCGAATGACAGATTGTAGGATTCGCGAAGCCATAGAAAGCGAAGCATAAATTAGATATTTCACATAGAAGGAGTCCAATCAACGCTCTGCCTTCAATAATCTCGAGTTAAATAATATTTATATGATCGAATTCCGACAACTGTATAACTATTTGCCATAATTAAAAGTAAAATATTTGGAATTTTATTCCTTTAATGAAGATTAATATTTTCATAATAGTTATATATAGATGAGCCGATTTATACCATGGAAATTATTAACAGATATTCGAGATGTCCAATTTAGATCAGGTAACATTTTATTATCTTCTAAGCTTAATAAATATTATCTTTAGCAAGAAGTTGAATCGTGATGATAGAACTTCTGATCATTGATCAGCATTGGGCTATTGCAAACGATTTATTTGATAGTGCCTTCCTATACCTTGTCGTAAGATAGATTTTTATTCAAACCATGAAAGAGAGAAAAGAAAGAAGCTATTGATCATTTTATTTCGAATGAATGCACAGCCTTTGCAATTATTGTTCTACGAAAGAAAAGGTGCAGCAGGCCTTTATTCGCATAAACTATATGAGGTGGATCTTAGAAATATAGAAGTGATCAAAATTTGGTTAATTCTAATTACAATAAGCTGATATCTCGACTTCAGAGCTTCTATCTTTTTAATTACTTATTAAATTTGGCAGTGCAAAGAGTGGAAGAATATTTTTTAGATAGACTATCTGAATTTATAAGAAATTAGAGAATTCAATTTGAAATAAATATAATGAACAGCCCATAAATACGAAATCATGCATTTTAACTTCATTGAAATTATGTTATTTGCACGTGACCAAAAGAATTTATTTAACTGGGACAGATACTTATTCTCGCGATAGTGATAAAAGGCGGTTAACATAAGCTGGTAGCCTTTTGATATCAGCTGAAATGTCGAGTAACGTTGTCGATTATCAGCTCACTCTCGGCTTAAACACTGAGGGTGAATTTTACAAAGTTAAGAGAGGTTTGTTTTAGAAATTATCTCGAACTTCTTTTCTTAGATTGGATAATTAGATTTAGACTTGATGAAACTCTAATAAGCAAAAATGTGAGATTCTTTACCAACTACCCTGTTGGTGCAAAGAAGTTTGTTCGCACAAAGTATTACGAAGTGTCAATTATACAAGCGAAAAATACACTTCGGAAATTAGATCGATTTGATAATTATTTTGTCCTGGGACCTCTTCAATTTAGCGGTGCTTTTCATTTCGTCTTTACCGCTGATGATTCCGCCTTTACATTAGATAAGCTAAATACCAAAACACTCTCTGAACATGGTGGTCAAGGTTACTTTGTTGTGGAGAGTAAATTTGCTGTCGGCCATCCTGAAAATCTCGATCGCTTTGCTCAATGGGACTTGGAAGGTGTGATGTTGCAGACTTACATCTCCAAAAATCTCGGTCCCCTCAAAGAATGGCGTGATCGTCTACGAGTTGCTTACGAATGTGGTTACAATATGATCCACTTTACACCTATTCAAGTAAATTGATAACATTTCTTATTCTTCATGTATTTAGGAAATCGGCGCCTCTGGGTCAGGCTATTCGTTAAAGGATCAATTAGTAATTAATCCAGACTTCTCTGACCCTGATACTGGGAAAAAAGTTGGTTGGGAGGAAATAGGCGAATTAGTACGCGAAATTGAAACTGAATGGTCAATGCTAAGTATGGCTGATTTGGTTCTAAACCACACTGCCACTAATTCTCCGTGGTTATTTGAGCATCCAGAATGCGGATACAATTTAGAGAATTCTCCGCATCTTACTCCAGCTTTCTTGGTTGATCAGGCAGTTTGGCGAGCTACTCTTTTTTGTTCGGAAGGAAAACTTGTTAATCGTCACATTCCTCCGGATTTCGGTTCACAGCAATCCCATGTTGATGCCTTGCGTGATTATCTAATGGACACTTTAAGAAGTATGAAATTGCACGAGTTCTATCAAGCCGATATTGAGGCAGTTAAAGAAGAGTTCAGACAATGGCTAAGTAATTTTGTGTTTTGCTTTTGACTATTGTTCCACTTCTTGTTTCTTAGTTAAGGGAACAGACCCACCTCCCTTTGTGGATTCAGACAGTTCTCTTCAGCTGAGAATTATAGGTACACGAGCTGGTCGTCGTATGGGTGCGACAGTTGATTTTGGTAAAGCGCGAGAGATGTTTGGTCATGATTTACCTGACGTCGCAGCGCATAACCTCGGTCTGCGTCTGGCCGATATGAACAGAAATGAAGAGGAGGCGATGAAACATCATATGTCATGTGCGGCTCATTGTGTAGCTGATGGAGCACGTTATAGGTTTTGCGATCCTAGTGGCCCCCGTTTTGAGGCTGTCACTACTTCTACACCTCTGGTTGATAGGTATGTATGGTTATTTTTTAAAATTCAATCGTAAGTGTATAGGTGACAAACGGGTGAAATTATAGCATAAGGAATTACATTTTGATAAGGTTTTCCTGTGATTTCGTATTATTCTTTTAATTATAATATCAAAACTTATATGGAAATGAGCTATTCAATAGAATTGAAATGGTCATTAATTTAGAAGGTGGTGTAATTTTACTGATTTTTTTTAGTATTTAATTCACTCCATTTTCTGCATGCGAAAGCTGGTAAAGTTAAGTTAGTTCTTTCTGTTAGTACGGTTGGCTAGTATTAGCGATTGGCATTTGGATTTCATGTCTCGCTAGGATTTTCGCTTGGAAAAATCAAAATGTTTTAAATTAAAAAAGTTAGTTATGAAAAGAAATGGGGAATATCGATCGTGTCCACTTTACACGTTTATAACTATTACATTTAGAAACAAATCAACAGTACAAATTATATACCTTTTTCTTGGTCAGTTGACTTTTTCAATTGCATGCGTCTTCTTCTTAATCGGATGCTTCTCTCAATTCACATTTGTAATCCAAGTCCAATTATCGGTTTCGATAACTGATTATTAATTTTCGTTTCAGACCTAGTTTCATACTTTAGGTGCAGTTTATTTTATGGCTTTCATGGTTTACTTTTTTCAGATACTTCCTTTGTCCCGAAGATCGCATGGAAACTGCAGAGGAAGCCGAGCGCTTAGCTCTCAGCGATCGCCGAAAGTACGTGATGGCCTGCAATGGCTGGGTCATGAACAGTGGCTCGATTAAAAACTTTGCAGACCTAGATTCTCGTGTATTTCTCCGACGTGAATTAGTTGTTTGGGGCGACTCTGTCAAACTGCGGTAGGTGCAACCTTTTATTAACAAAATTTCCCTAAAACTTGTTTTTTAAAGAAGGCTTTGCTAGAAATAAGTTCATCTTACAGTTGAACTGCCCTAAAAAGTACGGATTGAACGTTTAATGTAATATCTAGTTGTTTTATAACCCTCATTAAGCGTTTAATCGATCATCTGTTAATATTAGAAATAAAGTCTCTGTATAATCTATAATTTATTTAAAATCGTTCTTACCAAAGTTGTAGTTTTCGTACTTTTCTCGAGTTTTATCAGTAATAACATTAATATTTGCACACATTGGAATTTAAAGTAGGCTTCTTTTTTAAATACAAATGAATATGAACGTATTAATTTCAAAATCCTGTGCTGTTACGTTAGATGTTACTGCCGTTTTGATTAATTTCACTTTGCAGTTTGTATAATTAATATCTTTGGAGTTTTACTTTAAATATAATTGTGTTTTAGTTCAATGGGTCTGGTGTACAAACACCAATCTTCACTCCCTATTTATTTGATACCTATCATATTATTTTTATGTTTTCCAACCATAAGAATGGTTTAAATATTTTTTAGATACGGAGCTAAACCTGAGGACTGTCCATACTTGTGGAACCGAATGTTTGAATATGCACGTTTGACAGCCGAAATTTTCCATGCAGTCCGTTTAGACAACTGTCACGGCACTCCCATCCATGTCGCCCAGGCTGTTTTAGACGTCTGCCGTGAAGTACGACCTGGCATTTATGTTCTTGGTGAACTTTTCACAGATAATGCCCACACCGACAATTTCGTTCTTAACAACCTCGGTATATGCTCACTTGTTAGAGGTAGGGGGATATCTACTTAAATGATTGTTACGGCAGTGAGCTTAAATTCTAATATGATGTTATAATTTCAGAGGCTCTTTCAGCAACAGACTGTCGTGATGAAGGCCGTCTGGTGCACTATTACGGTGGAGAACAGCCAGCAGGTGGATTTCCTCATGCTGTGCTTAAACGCCGTTTACTTCCCACCGTTGCTAATGCACTATTCTATGACCAAACTCATGACAATCCCTCTCCAGTCGTCAAACGGACTATATATGATTTCCTCCCCTCCGCAGCTTTGGTCGCTATGGCTTCTTGCTCAACAGCCTCTACAAGAGGCTATGATGAGTTGGTGCCTTATCAAATTGATGTAGTCTCGGAGAAACGATTATATTCTCTCTGGGATAAAGAGGTCACAGCGGATACTGGTATGATTCGTGCAAAATCTGCGCTAAATCGTCTCCACAGATGGCTTGCTGCAAACAATTTCAATGAAACCTTTGTTGATCAGGTGGGGTAACTTATCGTCCACTCCTAGGCTTATTTTTTTGGAGTTGGGGAGACTTACTAATTTCCACTTTCTTCAGGTTGATACCGATGTTGTCGCGGTGACAAGATTTTCTGCTGATACGGCTGAATCGGTAGTTATGGTGAGCCATTCGTGTTTCTATGATCGTCGTGCCCATCCTGAGCACCATCCTTTCCGTTGGATCTACCTTAATGGACGTGTTCGGCGTATTTTGATTGAAGCTCGCACTGTTAATAAATCACCTGGACAGGCTTTGGATGGTTTCAAGAAAAGTGATGATGTAAGTGCTTTATTAACTAAAATGTGCCACTTTTCATTTTTGGAATACTGTTCAAATTGAATTGGTGGAATTATTAAGTGATTTAGATTATTATATTAGGTTGGCAACTAAGTCATTGCCTATTTCAAATAAGAAGGCAAATTCGGAATTTTTGTTTAAAAATATAACTTTATTCAATTAGATATTGGCCGTTCTTGTCGATGACCTTTTTCCATCGTTCTGGCAGAGTAAAAATTCCCCGTTCGTAAAATGTCTGGTCTTTGCTATTAATAAACTGGATTAGGTGTGATTCGACATCATCCGCGTTGTTAAAAATTTTACCATTTAAAGAGTTTTGCATGGAACGAAACAAATGGTAATCCGAAGGCGCAAGGTCAGGGCTATATGGTGGGTGTGACAAAACATCCCGACCCAGTTCCAATAATTTTTGCCGAGTAACCAAAGATGTGTGCGGGGGCCTTGCGTAATCATGATGGAAAACAACACCCTTCCGATTTGATAATACCGGCCGCTTATCTTCAATTGCATCCTTCAGTTTTTCGAGTTGTTCAACATACACATTTGAATTTATCGTTTGGTTCTGCGGCATGAGTTCAAAATACAAAATTCCTTTGTGATCCCCCCACCACACTGACAGCATAATCTTTTTTTGGTGAATCTCTGCTTTTCATACTGTTTGGGCTGGTTGATCTTGCTTCACCCATGATCTCTTGCGAGTAACATTGTTATAAACTATCCACTTTTCGTCGCCAGTAACTAGGTTCCTCAGAAATGGATCATTCTCATTGCGTTTCAGTAGCGGCGAATCACAGATGCTAATCCGTTGCGTCAAATAAATTTCCTTTAACTGGTGAGGGATCCATAAATCAAGTCTCTTGACATAACCAAGGGTTTTTAATTTTTTTTTTCAATGCATGTATGCGACACATTGAGCTTCTCTGCAATATCTCGTGTTGTGCTGTGACGATTTGAATCGATAATGGCCTTGATATGGGTTTCATTCACTTCGACTGGGTGGCCAGATCGTTGTGAATTTTTCAGTGAAAAATCACCGGAACGAAATCTTTCAAACCAATTTCGACACTGCCTTTCTTTTAAGGCTTCATCTCCATATACGGCACATAACTTCTTTTGTGTTTGCGATGCGTTCTTGCCTTTTCGGAAGTAATACAATAAAATGCGTCGGAAGTGCACGTCCTGTTCTTTCATTTTCAAATTGGGATAAAAACAAAACTAAAGAACTAAACAATAAAAAAATTTTTACTAATTAACCTAGAAGCCCATACAGTAAGAAAAAAATATAGGTTAGATGCTCTGGCCACGTTAACAAAACAAAAGAAAGTAGAGAGTGAATCCGTCAACAAAAACGGCAATGACTTAGTTGCCAACCCAATAGTTATATTTCTTAAGACAATGGAGATTATCATGGTATCTGATAGTACATAATTATTACATTTAATGGAAACGATCAAAACTTTAAAGTTCTAAATAATGTATTATCATCAAAACTGGAAATCTTTGACTAGTCTTTTGTCCAACCTTTCGATCTGTCGTGCATATTCTGAGTTGGTAGAGCTCGAAAGAACCGATTGAGGTTTATTAGTTTTATATAAGCCAGTCTTAATATAGACGCCTGAAGCCAGATTAGGTTATTACTTGGAGACAATTTGAATGTGCCCAGTCTCTTTAACAGTCTCCTGGCTATTCAATTATTTTTCTGTCATGCGCGTGCCAGTGATTGCATCGTATCTGCAACAATATGGCAATGGTGGTCTAAATTGTACTGCTATATTTGTTTATTTGTTTGTTATATTTTTGTGTATCTATTATGGTTTGTGGGTACTGTTGGTAACGGTTTGGCCAACCAGCAACTTCAATACCTGATGACGTTTAAGACCTCTTTTATCTGCCCAAGGTGGAGAATAATGAACCTCGTTTTTAGGGGGTGCGGGGGGGGCATATCTGTTGGTCAGCTTAAGATGGGTTTATATATATAGGATGTTCGTTTCTATCACTAGCACCATTGGTTCACGCATTGCAATTTGCTGATTTTGCAAACAAATTTAACTTTAATATTCAGCATCTGGAACCACCTAATCACCAGCTAAACAAATGTTTGTGATTTAATCACGCAAGTGAACATTTCTTGTATGATGTGAAGCAAAACTATTCAGAGTGCAAGGCTGGGACACCAATTTGATGCAACGTTTCTTTTACTTATTTCACACCTTTTCAATAGATTGCGTGGCATATTATAAACTAAGCCTACCTATTTACTGCTTGATTGCTCTTCTTAAATGCTCATGGAAACTGTTTACGAGTAATAGTAAAATGAGTGATCCTTGAAGAACAAAATACTTTAAGTTAATCACTTCCTTGTCTTGGTGTCTTATGGCTTTAAGCACATGAGGAATTACATTCAGTTGTATTTTAGTGTTGAGGTCGACAAGAGTGATAACCATACCGAATATCGGTTCCAATGTTTAGATTCTTTTGCACTTCCGCTATGATGCGCTACATTTGCTGACCTGGACTTTTCACTTTCTCAGTATTGTTGTGCAGAGTGGTTCTGTAAATTTTGCCATAACTTTCCTCAAAATATATGGACGAATAGCAGATAACAAATGCTGAATTGATTAATCCGACTTCTAAACGATATTGAGCTCTAAAAAGAGGGAGGGGGGAGGGGAGTTTCCTTCCGTTCTTATAATTTTAGCTGTATATTAACTTATTCCCACTTGCAACAGAAGGTACTGATAGGGCCCATTTACTTCACCTCAACACAGTGGAATACTTTCAAAATACCCAAATCCCGTGGTGCAAATTGATAGGTCCCCCATGCCCTTGGGCATGAACGTTCGCGAGCGGTGTGTTTTGGCTAGCATGCACTTTAAATCGGCCATGTATAAAGTTCATACACAACCATCACATTCCGAGCAGGATCGAGTTTATTTTGAGAGAAGATTACTAGGAGGTGGTATCAGAGGAATAAACTTAGGATATTCCTTTTAACTAGTGGCTCTAGATTATCGATTAAATTTGCAGAAAAATATCTGAATGCTTTTTCACAGGTGTATTGAAGCTATGGTCGCATACCACGCCACCTTTAAAAGTTTAAACCGTTCCTTATTCAAATACGTTTTGACAGTGAGAATGGTGGATGACTATTGGAATTCGCCTGAATCCTGATAGAAAATGACTTATGTCATGTTGATCCGTGCTGTCCATAAAATTGGCGCTGTGCTCACCAATTTTTTCTCAGAGAAAGACAATGGGGGAATTGCCTTGAAGTAACTTGCGGGAAATTTTACATCGTGTTAAAATGAAATTCATCTTTTGGAGGTTTTTACAAAAGAGTTTTTCAATCATGCTTAGACTGTAATTATGGTGCTTTTCAAGCAGCCTATTACCTTTATCCTTTTAGTTTATTAATGGGCTAACCAACGTTGTCGTTGAAACAATGGAAGATGTTGAAATAGGAAGAAGCAAGATGTTTAGAGTGCACCACACAGATGCGAATGGAGGTACAGACGCTTTGGAATTCTATGACTTTCCACCGGGTTGTATCGTTGCTGTCAGCGTCTCTCTCAGTCCTGTTCAATCTGAAGCTCTTAGTCGTGTTCGTGGAACCCTTTTGCATCAAGTAAGCACTTTGATTTGGAATTTTGCGTTTTATGCCAAAGAAACAGAGGCTTATTTCGTATTTACATTTTAGTTCGGCCGTCGCTTGCGCACTCTGGATGTTCGTAAAGCGGCACTTAACCCGAATACAGTGGCTATTGCTGATGCTTTGCTTCCACTCTACCCCGACTCTATTGAACATGGTCTCATCAAACGTTTGATCAGTGATCTCAGTCTTGCTGATATGAACTGGCTACTCTACCGTTGTGCAAGTGAAGAGAATATACCTGGTATCGGTCGTACTCCCTACTACATACCACGCTATGGTGATTTGATCTACTGTGGTCTGCAGGGTATTGTGACGGTTATGCGACACGTTGCGCAGTACAATGATATGGGACATCCAGCGTGTGGACATTTGAGAGATGGCCTGTGGATTTTGGATTACTTATGCGCGAGAATCAGCGCGGGCGATCCATCTAGACCATCAAAGGAGTTGGATAGACTAGCTAAAGCACTGCAGCAATTATTCCAGCCTATCTACGCTCTGCCAAAATATTTAGTTCCTGCTAGCTTTGGCATGATGGTTGGATGTATATATCAAACTGTCATGGAGGAAGTAAGAGGAATTCGTAATTTTTGAATGCTATATTAGTAGGTTCTAAACTAAGCCAAGATACCTATCAATTTTGTTTGAGGCTTATCAATCGCACAAATATTTAAAACTTATTAGTGCTTAAGTACTTTTAGGGGAAAATAAAGTGAGCTCTGTTAATGTAAAAACGAATTGTTGGCTTCATAGCTGTGAAACTTAACTTATGCCAACTAAAATTTCTACTAAAATGGTGATGGGAGTTGGGTTAACCACCCATACGACGGTAATAATTTCGGATATTGTCTTTCCTTTGGCTTATTTGGTAACTGTGATTGTTATTTCCGATTCTTATTTGTAAAGCTCCCAATAATTGATCGAAGGACTAAATAAATAAGGACTGTTAAGAGATGATATTGAGGGTTTAAATTAGGGCTCTTAACTCACGAATACTGGTTTTCAGCATCAGTGAATGCCTTGCTAAAAGGTTTAAATAGTTGACTTATGTTTTCACAGTTTACAAGAAGAATACTTGATAATGTGCACGTGACATTTGGAATGTCAGTAGAATGTAGTTATTTTTTATCTATTTGGGCAATACAATCTTTCAAATGGCATCACGTTTGTATTATTTCTAAAGTTATAAAGTAATTGCTGCCATTCTAATATGGCTTTGTGGACTTATAGTCATTTCTACTGTTTTTATAGTTCTAAGTAAATTAAGATGGAGCAACATATTACTTTCCTTCTTAGTTGTAAGATAGAATCTATTCACGTATTAAACGAGAAATCTAAAAACAAATTATTTTAACAGGCAATAATATTTTCTTTATTGATTTCAGCTTCCGCTATTTTTCCGTTTATTAGTAGGGGAAAAAATTATTCTTGAAATGATTTTCTTTATTTCAGCTAATTTAATTTTATGGCGTCTTGATTAAATTGATTTCAATAGTGTTATCCACATTAATGCTGCTGGTAGAGGTATTTTGACAAAAGCCACGTTCACTTTGGCTTTGCACAAGCTAATCACGTACGAGGTTGAAGTCAATCTAGGCGCGCACACACACACACACACGCAACAGCCATTCTTCCTCGGTAAAAGTACCACCTCGTACTTCATCTTAAGATGAATCGTAAGCCAAAATGACTTATTTACGTTAGGACGAATTTCAGATAATTTTGCCGGAACTTCAGTTAGCAACGCCGGTGATTAATATTGGCCTACAGAAAGATGTTCTAAAGAGATAAGACTCAATAAATTAATTTTTTAAAGAAGCATAAACTATTTCAATTAAACTCATTGTACCCCACCCCCTCTCCCCCTCCTTTCCAGCTGAATACTCGAGTTGGCAAATGGGTAGAACTGGGCTCCTCAACGGTGCGCAACTTGGTTTCAGCAAGCGTTCAACTTTATGGTAAAGCGCCAAATGTAATTTTGCCCACAATTCTGCCCGCACCGGCTCTTCAGGGTGCCGATGACAATCCTCTGCGCTATACTTGCAGTCTTGCTGCTGGTTTGCCTCACTTTGCTGAGGGTATGTGGCGTAACTGGGGTCGTGATACCTTCATTGCTCTCAGAGGATGCCTGGTTCTCACTGAGAGATTTGAGGTAAATCCTGTATTTTATTTTCCAAAATTTGACAAAAGTGGATAAAAATGTGGGCGAGTTTATTAGGCTAAAGCTTAGTGGATAGGCTCATGGTTCCCAAAAAATGAAGATCCGTGTAGTTGATAGTTAGATCGGAGTTGGGTCAGCTATTGAGAAGTTTGGCAAAGATTACTTCTTTTGGGTTAAAGGATGAAAATAATGAAAATTGGATAGGTTTTCTCAGAATTGAAATATTCGGTCAAAAAATGCTGTGGATTATAGTTAATACCTTTTATTTGAGTTCTTTATTTAAAGTCAATACTCTTCTTGGAGAAAGGACTAACATAATGGAGCTTCCCTGGTAAGAAATTTTTATAATCTTCTTCTTATGACTTTGCAAATTTATTCAGTTAAATACATTTTTTGTAACAGGAAAACTTATTGTTGCGTAGAAATGGGAAATTATCCGGGTTTAAGGTTAAGTTATGTATTTTTTGCTTCTCTTATATTCAATAAACGAGGTATTCAACGAGGAGTGAGCTCAAAGGTGTCCTTTTTCCAGACGTAGATCTTAGCGTCCTTTTGTGATCAAATGGCAGAATAGCTACACTTCTAATATCACCGAGCATCTAGGCGAATCTAGGCCATGCAATGTTTAATTACGTTTCAGTATAACTTTGCAACGTCAAAACACTGCCCTTGCACAGATCGTAGTATCTAGGGTTACAAATGTCTAGTGTTGAACACGCATTTTTATAAGGCATACAGTATTCCTCCAATTCGTCTTTTGAATGCTCGTAGAGGTATGTGTCTTTCTGATTCAACAGAACATTGTTCTTAATAGCAGGTATAATATCTAAAGAGCTTTGCAGTATATTACTATTGATTTTTGCCTTTATTATTCTAGGAAGCGGCAAATGCAATTCTTCAATACGCTTCCATCATGCGCCACGGCCTAATCCCCAACCTAATGGGTGATGGCCATTGTGTACCTCCACGTTTTAATGCTCGTGACGCCGTGTGGTACTGGCTCTACTCCATTTGTGCTTTCGAAGACGCTGTGGCTGCCAATGAGGGGCTACCCTTGGGTGCTGGTGGATACAAGAAATCAATCCTCTCACGTCCTGTCTTCCGTTGGTTTATGGACGACTATTCACCTGGATGGCCTGAAGAACGTCATTCAATCGATATCAATAACCCACCTGCTGATAGAGTCATGCCGCTCTATGATGTCATTCAAGAGGCCCTTCAAAAACACGTACTGGGCATTGCCTTCACGGAGAGAAATGCTGGGCAACAGCTGGATGCTCATATGACTACTGAAGGTTTTAATGTAGGCGAATTGCTTTTTTCTCTAATCTCTACCCTTCTTTACAAAGGTTCGGGCTTTCGTTCAATCTGAAACTGGATTCATTTGCGGTGGAAATCCACACAATTGTGGAACCTGGATGGATAAGATGGGCAGTTCGGATAAAGCAGGAAATCGTGGAAAGCCTGCTACATCAAGAGATGGTTGTGCTGTCGAACTGACAGGTCTTGCTTATGCGGTGATTACCTGGTTACAGCGGGCTCACAAGGAAAGTGGAGGAAAATATTACCCATACGATGGTGTTCAAGCACCGGCAAATTCAGGTACCGAGAGGTGGACTTGGTCTTGTTGGGCTGAAAAGATTAAGAATAACTTCGAACCCAGGTTCTGGATACCTATTAAAGATGCAAGTATTGATATTCAACAGGGGTACTATCGCGATGTTGTCGATTGTTCAAATCCTACTACCGAAACTCAATTGAGACCTAATTTCTTGGTTGCTATGACTGTCGTAAGTTTACCTTTTGAAAAACCCCTTAGAGGAAGTTGAAAATAGGGCCACTATGAATGCATTGCTTATTATTCTTAAGGCACCAGATCTCTTTGATGCTAGAAATGCTTGGAAAGCTCTGGAAATAACAAGAAAGCAGCTGGTTGGACCATTGGGCTTGAAGACTCTTGATCCTAGAGATAAAAATTATCGATCATCGTATCACAACAATGATGACTCCTATGACTTCCATACTGCGCACGGGTTCAACTATCACCAAGTGAGTTATTATTAGTAAATATTGCATTATGCCACTCGAATAACGGCATGCATAGTTGCAAGTTTATAATTTAGTTAAAGGGTTGGTAGTTTCGGCTCCTAAGATTTTTGGAACTTGTTATGGATATCGTGCTTGCGATGTGGTACGATCAACCACTCTTAATAAAAAAAAATTTAGGAGCCTATAAATTTGGCTCCGATATGTCTTTATAGACGTTTGCACCAGTAAACTGAAACCAGTAAATAGTTTAAAAAGATTTCTTTCGATTTTATAAATATATTCAATGTACTTCACTATTTTATCTTTAATTCCAGTAGGATGGAGATTTACGGTTTTTGAGGCAGGAATAAACATTACTGTTTTAGCTATGACGGCCAAAGAAAATCAAAAGTCTTCATGTTGTCTGGATCGATTCGCCCTGACTACTTTCTATTTTTCTTCATACTTAATGAATTGTAGAAGCTTTGAGGTAAGATAATTGGAGGCGGGGGG